TAAAACATTTCCCTATTTGAAAAATTTGTTTTTTAAATTAACAGTGCCTGGGACTTGCATAAAAAGAAACCAAAAAAGGGATATGTGGCTAAATCCAGAAAGTAACTTAATATAGTGATTCCTATTACCTTCACATGAAGTATACGGGCTGTCATAGGAGAATTCAGCAAGAAACTAAGCCAGCCAGCGTGCGTAGCCTTATTTAATCCATAGCAGGAAACAAAAACAACCCTGTGTATTCAAAATGGGTCATCTGTAGGGCAGGAAGCAAGAATGCTCTTACTTTTCTTAGGATCTCCTGGAGAGAGTGTAGTTGGTTATTTTAAGACACAGAATGAAAAGGTAAGGCTGTACATAACCCATAGAAATTCCCTGCTACCAGCTGTATGTTCAGAAGTGTGCTGTCATAAGGAGACTGTCACAGTACAGTTACTGATTTTTCCCATGTCGGTATCAGAATTCTTTCTGTTTTCTTAGGTTGGAAAAAGAAAGAAATGGAGCATTCAAATCCTTCCACTACTGAAGGCTTTAACTGTTGAGTGGATCAGAGAGTAGAACACAAGGCTCCTATTGATAGCTGAGAATCTAACTGCTGAATTTTAGGTGTATTCCCAAACACTTGATTGCCATGCAGTTTGAAAAATAGCTTGTTTCATGAAAAACTGAATTAGTACCTTTGTTGCATTGGCTTTAATAGGAATTGGATATTAATTTTAAGCTTTAAATTATATGGGTTTTTTTTTTTCACTTGCAATGTTGTTTTGGTTTTCAGTCTGTTTTCACGTGTTATGAATACAGGATCACAATTTGTGATGGAAGGCGTGAAGAACTTGGTACTGAAGCAACAAGTAAGTTTATAGACCATGCATTGTCAAGCAATTGTGAACACTGAGGAAAATGACTTTTGTTTCTTCCGTTGTGCTATGAGGCCTGCTCTGAAAGTAATGCCTTCTGTATTCTGTTATGGTGGCCCACAGTGGCAGAGGAGGAGTCCGGAAAAAATGGCACCTATGGTCACTCAGTGTTGTTTGCTGAATGTTTGTGGAGACCAAACAGTGGATGTGAGCTCAGTGAGGCCATGGGTGGTCAGTTTCAGCAGTGCAACAGCAGGTCCCCTCCAGTGGATTTTTACAAGTGTGGCATGTAGGCTCTTGTTCGTGGCTGACAAAAACACAGAGCTAACGTAGACTGTGTTGAGAACAGTGCTTTGTAGATAAGGATTTCCTCTGTTAACAGAGTTCTTCTCTTCATATCTGTTGTAGTTTCTGGGGAAATAAACAGGAGATACCACTTTCAGCATGACCCATGTTTATTATGCAGATTAGTAATTCCTAATGCAAAATTAAGTTTTTGCCCTGGATGTGGTGAGTTTGTATTGGAAGTTACATAGGTGGGTGATTTAGAATCATAGAATCATTAAGATTGGAAAAGACCTAAGATCATCTAGTCTGTCAGGAAAATAACTTTACTGATATAATTATGAAGTAGTGTCCTAGAAACCTCCAGCTGACAGAAGTCTTAACATACTGAGACTCCACTTATCTACTTAAATATGTTTACTAAAGAAGAAGAAAAATTTTTCCATGAAGGCTTCCTTTTAGCTGTAATAAAAGGACTGAAGCAGAATATTGGCACTTGTTTTGGTAGTCACTCTTCTACTAAAATTGGATGAAGTACATTTTCTAAAATTCGGAAGCATTATGTTGCTATTGAAACTGAATTAGAACTAGCAGCAAAAAATAATGTTGGCCAACATGATTCCAGGATATTATTTTGCATTACAGGTTAAATCCTTAAGGTGTTGTAGGCTAGTGCAGTTATTGAATAATCTGGCTTGGTATTTGTATTGCCCACTGCAAAACACCTCTAGATGTGAGACTTTTCTCAGCTGAGCAGAGGGTTAGTTTGGCTTACAGAAAGCACTGTTTATTACGTGTATCTCAGACAATTTGTTGTGTCTGCACTATCTGCTATTACATCTTATGTTGTGGTTGCCTCCTTCTTGGAGGCATTCAAGGCCAGGCTGGATAGGGCTTTGAACAACCTGGTCTGGTACGAGGTATCCCTGCCTATAGCAGGGGGGTTGGAATTGGATGATCTTAAAGGTCCCTTCCAGCCCAAACCATTCTATCTGCCAGTGCTACTCTGACTTCCACACACACTTTTGGAAACTGAAGTTCCCCTGGAACTAGTAAATAATATAATACAAGACAGTCAAAGGACTTGATGACCTAACTGTTAGAAATTACAGTAGTTAGCTAACTGTACTGTTATGTCCATAAATGACATATTAACTATCAGTACATTGTATAGACCATTGGCACCAGGAGAATTTAAAGTTCCTGCAGTTCCTTTCCCAGTGAGCAGCAGAAATGCTGTTGTGATTGACTGTTACAATGGCAGTTTGTTCTAATGTGAATTTAATAGAGCATGGCTTAGGGATATAGAATTTCTAAGCTGAGGTTCTTGGAATGTGCAGAAGTGAGAAACAGTGCTTTCTACCTGTTAGCTGAAATTTAGCCAGTCTTTTTTTTTTTAAAAAAAAAAAAAGGCACCTAGGAAAAGAGCCTAGATCAATAAGCCATGTTGCTAAACATTTCCATTGTGTAACATTGTGAAGCCTACGAAGTAAACATTCTTGTGTTTCCAGTGTTGGAAGGTTCTCAGATGGCAGTGCGTATACAGCTGTGCAGCATGGCACTTCATGGGCACCTGTTCATGATGGAATTTCCAGAATTCTGAAGTGAAGCTGGCAGCTTCTTGAAACAAAGAAGTTGGGGTGGAAGGGGTCTCATATTGAGTGTTGACTGCTGAGGAAGCACTTTAGCTTTGAGAAGTAATTATTTTAAAAAATAAAAGATTGCAGTACCATCACCTGAATTAGACAGTTACTGTCTACTTTGGTACTGTTCAGCTACTTCAAAACACGAGCCAAACATTTTAAAGCAGTGTTTCAAATGTTCTGTTGATTGTCCTATGAATAAGGCTTAGCAAGCAATTGAGTATTTCATTAATTTCATGTTTTGTTTTGTAGAACCTACCAGTCACACGTATATTGGACAACCTTATGGAGATGAAGTCAAACCCAGTGAGTATAACTGCTTTCACATAGGAGATAATTGTCAAATAGGTAATTGTCAAAGAGGTAATATGTCCAATGAAATCTTTAGGCTTTGTAATGGTAATATACCGTACTTATTGTAAACAAAGAATGCAGTGCTTTATTTCACCAATAGAAACATTGACATAATTATTCCGTACAATTTATTTAGCGTAAAAGTACATTAATCATGACACTTGATGGTGTTTCAAACTGTCTTTTTTTTACTTGGGGGGGGAGGAAAGGCCTAGACTGAGCTTTTGTATTATACTGATCTTCTGTTACTCCTGAATTTGTAGAGGTTAAACAATGGTCTGCAATTGTTCTTGAATCAAAGGGATTTCTTTTAAGAGCACAGTATTAAAACTTAAGTAGATACGAACAGGGTTAGTACAGAAAGTCTTCCTTCCCTCATCTTTGAAACTTTGCTGTTTAGAGCAAAATGTTTTAGCAGTCTTTCACTTGAAACCAGTTTGGTTGATTGCTTTGTCAGGAAAGTCCGCTCTTCCCGTTGTTCCTGTGAAATCTTAAATTTGCCAAAGTTAACAAAGCTTTGATTGTGCACAGTCAACACGAGTGCTAGAATGTACAGCTAAAAATAGCCAGAAATCTTTTGTCTAAGCCTTTTTTTTTTTTTAATTCCTTCAATGAATCATTGATGTGACCATCCTGTACATAAGATAGTAATAGGATGTGGCAGACACTCAACCTTTAAAAATGGCTTTGAAAAAAAAAAAAAAGAAAATGACTTTCAGGTGATTCAGAACAACCTTTAATGACTGTTTCTCATTTTAATGACATCATAATCACACGAGATATAAAAACAGTAATATCTCACATTAGTTTATCTATACGTAGAGGTATGATACTACAAAAATAAATGTAGTACAAAGAACACATGGATTTTTGCAATTCTAGCTGAATTTTTGCATTATTCAGAGCTGGTCTGCTAGTGCCATTTGTATCCAGCAGTCCATCTTTAACAGTGTGTGCCTGTATGAGTTAGCCGTTCACTTGTCAGCTCTTCTGAGCTATCCAGGACGAACAGGTTTCAGGGTGGGCTCCACACTGCAGTGGTTATGACAGAAACATAGGTAGGTGTGCATGGAAAGTAGCAAAATACAGTAGATTTAGCATAGTCTACTTGCTGCTTCAGATATTAGCAATAGGGAGAGACAGGTAAATAATAGAAGCAGAGGTAAATAACCAATCTATAGCTTTTTTATGTATATAAATCTATATGTATATCTATATGTATATAATCTATAGCTTTTTTATTTTATATGTAGCTTTTTTTAATTGTACTTTATAGGTAGTGAGTCATGATTGTTAAGTGGAAATAAATAGGTGTTATTTTCAGCAGCAGAGTAGATTGCTGTCCCTATTTGTAGGACTTTGAGAAGATGTACAGGGTTAATGTATCTGGTCAACCAGTAGAGGTCACTCAGAACACTTAATACGGAAATCAGAAGTTAAAAACTGGTAGGTGAAAACAAACAAAATTTTAAAATAAATGCTAGCTTCCTCTGGCTCCAAGTTTAGGGACTTAGCTGGAGAAGTTTACAATTCATACATTTTCTTCTTGCTGATGTGACGCTCTCACCTTGTAGTCAGAGAAGGCAGCCAAGATCACTTTGCTAGTGTAATACAATGGAAAGTGCAGCAAGTGACAGCTGAGCAGCAAGGTCCCAGGCTGATCAAGTGAGGACTTAATCAAATCTAACAGCCACAGAAACAGAGGAAGGAAGCTCTTACCTTTAGAAGGCCTCAGGTAGACAGGGATCTCCAGCAAGAGATGCCCTCATCTCTACTGCTGACTCTTAAATGAAGTCTGGGAAGGGGTGGATTCTGGTCACTCAGGTGCACTGCATCCACCTGAGCTCCCCTGGGTTGGCCCTGCCTTCCCACCAGCTGCTCAGTAATTGCTTCAGGCTGTGACTTTGCATTTCTGCTACAGCGATCCTCAAGAAAACACTGATCTTCTCACTTGAAAAAGGAAAGATTGTTTCAGTCTGTTAGGTTAAGTTGGTTCTCTACCATGTCAAAGATGAGAATACCTGATCCAAAACAGGAAGTCCTACCTTGCAAGTCATACGAGACCAGGCAAGCCTTTAAGGAGGAGTCCTAACACATACTCTTTGAGTAAGTAAATTCAAGAAGGAAAATAAACACAACGCGTTGCTATTTGTTGGCCACTTTTCCAGTGTCAATTTAGTATTTATTTAATTTTATGCCCACAGGAGAGATACTCAGAAGTAATAATGAAAAAATGTTTTTGATCTTATATAACTCTTATAATTAGAAGGAATTATGGACTAATGCCTGAAATAAAATCAGAGATACCCTGCTGAGGTTTTCTCAAATACGTCTCAGTCCCATTTAGTGCTTTCCACATGTTTCTAGCTCTCACTTTTTAGAGTTGCTGTACCACCACTACAAACCAGGCTCCAAGGTCATGAATGGGGGCAGACTTGGTGACTGTCGCTGAAATTTCCATTGCAGAGTATAAATGCATTTATTTATATAGTCAGTATGAAATTAAATTTAAAATTAAATTCTTTAATAAGATACATGTGAGGATATATGTTTTATATAATTGCAAAGGTTCTTAATATCAAATTATATTTTCTTTATGTCTAACTGCTGCATGTATATTAAGTATTTTGTAATATTATGTATAGATTTACCTTGTGTGCACTAGTAAATCCTACAGCTAGTTTTCTACCACTAGAAGATTATTTGTTCCACAGAATGCAGAGATCTTGCTTGTAAGCACCCAGCTGAAATCCAGTTCAGACTCACATACACTTCATCCATGATGTAAAATACCTGGATGAAACTGTAGTATAGAAACAGACTAAAGCCAAGCAGTTGTCAGAAACAGTTATTAAGAAGCTTTGTTTTTCATCTGTAAGACTTGGTAAAAACCCTGCTTGTTGCCAGTAAAAATATTGGAAGTGCCTCACTGTTTTGCATGAAGAAAAAAGAAACTTTTATAGTTTAGACAGTCAAACTTTTCAAATTCTTGTGGAACTCATTTCTTCCTCACAAGCTTAATTTTGGTTTAATAGCAGTCATAAATCATGAAATTAAAAGGGTAAGTTTCGTAACAGTAGCAGATTTTGATCTATCTTGTATTTTGTATTCATTGCCTTAGAAGTGTTTTGGTTTATGGTATTAAATCACTAGCAGATCTCTGTAACCTGGAAAATGTTAGCATTTGTAAGTCAGTCACAACTAACTGCCTGATGTTCTTCTAAAGCTGGTGACAGCTTAATCTTTCTTTCTACATATTGCTTTTCTGTTGGGATTTATTATGCAACCAACAGAAGTATGTCTTGGAAATTGTGTAATAATCAAGTGTAGCTGAATCAGAAACAGTTTATCTCTGTTTATGCTTCCCTGGTTCAGTTATGTACAAATATTATGTGTGCACACCCCAATTAACTTGGAGTGATGCATCTGCTGGAACTGGAAAATCATGGGGGTTTGACTGATTGCCATTTCATGGAACAAATGCAGAAGTTCATGAGCCTAAATCCATATCTTTTGAGATGTAAACATTCTTTTGAATAGGAGACAGATGACTACCGATACTTTGACCCCAAGATGCTACGGGGCAGTGACAGGTGAGTCTACTGTCAGTTTTGCTCATTTCCTTCTCTGGGAAAAGGCTAACTTGAAATAATTCTTATGTTATTGCTGACTCTATAAGATCTCTAACTGTTCATTTTAAGACAAGATGGTTGATATGGAAGGAAATCACAACTGAAACCTGGATCAACCAGGTATGTTTCTGTCAAAAAGAAGATCACTGTTCCAGTGACTGTGCTGCTAATTTGTACACCAGTCACAGGAATGTGTAATGGTATTTAATAGTAATTAATGTTAGAATTTTTTTAAAATACTGCTTGGTTTCTTTGAAACTGTTTTTACACTGTTAAATGAAAAAGTCACTGAGCAGCCCACCAAAATTTCTATTTGAGTACAACCCTGTTTAGTGATCGTTCAGTAGATCTTTGAAAACATAACAGGCTGCGTTTGCTCCTGTATAGACAGGTGCACATGTAAGTTCATGTGCTCATACATGAAGGGGCAATCACTTCACTGGTAAACTGTAAGAATGAAAGAGGAATTGCACTAGAAGTTTACAGGCTTCTGTCTTCTGCTTCTGGGAGCAGTATCCATGCCTGATAACCTTGCTTCTAATATTGTAGATAACAGAGACTGTAATTTTAACATGCCTTCTAAAAACTCAGCTGTGGGAGAGCTATTGGCTCATTTAATTTTAGAGGTTTATTTCTCGGTGGATATATACCCCTGCTTTTAGTTATTTGCATTGAATAAGAATTTCATCTGTCCAGCTTCCATCTGTTCTTGGATCATGGAAATTAAATTTCCAATAGCATTAAGTAATAATGGGAAGCAAATTTCAAAGAATATGAATATGAAGTATTATCACAGCTGCACTGCAACTCTTTTTCATGCTGCTTTTATAACATTTTGAGGATTTTTCTCTACCACCTGAACTTCCTTGTCATTTTAATTCTGATGTTGCTGTAACTGATAATCACTTCTGGGATTCTGAAGCATCTGTAAGCAGAAGTGCAGGCGTCACATAGATGCTGATCACATTGATGCAGTTGTTACTCCTGTGTCTCTCACTGTGGTTGTGCTCCTAGCTAGCAGCACTGGAGTTTTGAGCATAAAAGAAACACTGTCATAAAACTCATGATTCAACCTTAAAACTGAGGAAGGTAAAGCTATTCACTTTGTGTATGTGTTCCTATAAATGATTATTTTTCATGAAAAATAATTCAATAATAGCTTTGAACAATACTTGCCTTTCTGCATTGTACTTCACATTTTTGTCTAATATAGTTTAGAATTCCATAAACACAGGTATTAGTACTAAGAATGCTGATATAAACATAAATGTCTAATAAGATTTAAGTTGTAGGTGTTTTTCTTTCTTTCTAGCTCAGTTCCACGAAACAAAAATCCATTCCAGGAGGTGAGTCGTGTAGAAGTTACTTGTCAGTGTGCATGTATAAAAATAAAAAGGAAAATAGCATTTTTTGGTAATAAAGAAGAGACCTTGCTTTGCAAGAATCGCTTATTTTGCTTACCTCTAGTATTAATTGCAGTGAGCTGCCATTCTGAAAATGTCTCTCCATCTTCAGTGAGCTGTGTAAGCGTTAAATAACAGTGAAGGAAAAAAAATATCTCAAAAACGCTTCTGGAGATAACTATAGTAATAACACCATATTTGGGTACTCAGTAATTTAACACCCCCATTTTTATACTAGACCTTTACAGTGCTCTCTAAATTTAATTCTCTTTTCAGTCATAAACGATAGCGTTTGCTATGAACTTAAGTGAGACTTCTTTAAGCAACCTCTGTGATTTAAGGAAACAACTCACAAAAGCAGCAGAACAGCTCCTGCTGCCACGTGCTCCTTTTTCATTTCCTACAACTGCCAGTAAAGTTTGGTATTTTTCAACAGAAATGTTTACAAATAGAAGACTTACTTACCTGTTCATTACCAAGTTTGCCTCAGCACTGTGTGCACATCCCCAAGTTTTCTGGATGATTTAATTCTCCTCCTGTGCAAAAAAAAAAAAAACTTTTCTGTGTCACAGGGATCTGCCATAGCAAAAATGATAGAGATTAAGGCTACATCAGACAATACTGGATAGTGAATTGTTAATTCAAAGAATGGAACTGTTACATTTCCTTATTCTATTCATTAATTGTTCAACATGTTTTAAATATAGCCCAGAAAATACTGCTGCCTTTTGTACCTTGTTACAGTACTAAGTAGGAAGGGGAAAGACAATGAAGAAGTGTTCTTTTAATAAATAGAAATATTTTATTTTTCAAATTAGTTTGCAAGCATCCACAAAAATACTCCAGCTGCTCTTGTGGAACTGGAGCCATCTCCACACAAAAATGCAATGTGTTGAAACTGCCTGTTTCACCTATTTCGTAGTAGGACAAAGAAATATGTTAAAATAAGTATTTGTTATTTTGCATCCCAGTAAAACTCTCGTGTTCTTGGAGGGGAGAGCTAGTTAATCTGTGCTGGGTTCTTATCAGACTGAAGCATGATGAAGACAGTTTTTGTTGTATTAACTGATGTGGGTATATACTTCACTACTGCAACATTAAGGATTTGATTACATGTTCTGATTATGTTCATGTTGTATTTTAGGCAATAGTCTTCGTAGTTGGTGGAGGCAACTATATTGAATATCAAAATCTTATTGACTACATAAAGGTATGTGCACTTCTGTTTGTAGTTTCTAACTTACTGATATAAACCGTTACATAGTTTCAGATATAAACAGTTTCAGACACTGTATTATGAGACATAATTAAGTCTTATGAAATTCAGGGTTACACTGGTACTATGCATACCATGCAGGGAAAAAAGTATGTAAGAATTCAATGGAAAACAGGGATGATAATTTCAGAATGCTAGTTACTGTTTCTGGCATTTTTGTTCATGTTGCATTTCTGACTGCAAGCAGTGTGCCACCTATCAAAGCAAGGATCACGTTTGCATCCATCTCTTAATGCTTCTTGGCTATGTTTAGAAGTTTAGAAGTAACAGGCAGCTCGTTCTCAGCATGCTGGATCATGTGATTCTGTGTAGAAATCATGTGATGTGCAAATTAAAAAAATATGGAACCAACTGTATAATTGATGGGGGAGGTAAAGAGATCTGAAGTCTCTAGTTCCACCTGGCCAGCCTAAACAGAATGTACGTACACCAAAAACAGCAGCTGAAAAAAACCAACATGTTTAGAATTCCTTTGGGAGCAGAAATGAGGTAGAAGCACTTTCCAGATGTAAAAAGGAAACAAAGGAAAACTTGATGAAGTTTTGAATTAGGTAAGAGCAGCAAAATACTATTCTTCCTTCTAGATTTTACCTTGCTATGCTTCTCTCTGGATCAAGGCTTTTCCCTGAAAATAATACATATGCAACATTAGTAACAGAAAAGTATTTTTTCATGTGCCAAGACCTGAGTGTTTTACATTCCTGTTCCAGTATATCTTGCAGAACATGAAGTCAGAACTGCACACGGCTGTTTTCCTCCTTTAGCGGGCAGCTGTTTTGGAACAGAGCTGGTCAGAATTGGGAAAAAGAGAGGAAAAGGAAAGTTACACAGTTGTGGGGTACAGGAGAGGACAGGAGGACCAAAAATTTCAGAGACATTGACAGAGATTAGACCTGCAGTTTAAGCTGAAATGTGCTGTACATTTCTCCAGACTATTTCAGTAGTGGCTTATGACCTTGCAAGAGGGAAGTCTCCTTCACCTGTGCTTGGTTAGCCCCTCGCTTCTGAAAAACAAAGAGAAGTTACTGAAAACTTGATTCCATTCACCCTTCTCCCAGGAGACTTGCCCACCTCACCACATGGCTCTTCCAGGCTTAGCCAGTGCAGTTTGGCACACTTCCATGCATGTGGTGTAGTTCCAGCATCTGTTGTCTCACCAGATGTAGCTTATTAATTATTCTAAAATTCAATCAGTTGTCCTTCAGACTGAAAAGGAAGAAAAAACCCAACAGGTCTGTCCTCGCAAGCAGATACAAAGATTTTATTCACTGCTTTATTTTTTTAAGCACTATCAGTTTTTACCAGTTTGCCACTGAAAACACAGAAAATCTGTGAAAGCTTTCTGAAACAGGAAGCAGTGTTCAGCTTTGGCATTTCGGGGGTTTTTGTAGGAGACTTAACCCTTAAACCCAGTTATTTTCAGTTCTGTGCTAGAATCTCACTTCATCATAAATATTGTTCATAGTTAGGAAGATTGTACCTTGAAAAACATACATTGGCCAACAACATGCTGAAAATGCATCACCAAAACTTCAAAGCACAAAGAAATTTGGCTTGTTCTTTTGTTTTTAACAATATATGAAAGGAAATAAGTGCTGCCTGGCTGCCTGCCTCAGCTAGACATTATCATTTTGCACAACAAAATCAAATTCTGCACAGCTTTAAAAAAAACAAAACAACAAGCTCTGGTGTTGCATTATTTACAAGGCTAAGCAGCTTCAGCTTGGCTCCACTAACTTCTGGGTGATACAGCTAAGTGTGCTGAGTAATTACCTTGGAGCATGGATATGCTTGTATTCAAAAATTACACTTTTAGTAGAATTTGTTTTCATAAGATGGATTTTACAGGAATGTGTATTTTGCAGCCTAAAAAGGCAACAGTCTCGCTTCACAGTTGTGCCTAGTGTTTCTTTATGTTTATGTTACTGTGCAGCAGTAAGTGCTGCCATTCATATTACAGAAAATAGAGTGTCAAGATTCCAGTTTAGATCAAAATCAGACCTGTTCAGGCTTCAAGATTAAATGTAGCTGAAAGGTGGGGAGAACCAAGTTCAAGCTTTTGCTTAGTGACAAGAACAACTTATTGCAACAAACTACTCCAAATTAATAAAGATGAGGAGATGAAGCAGGATTACCATCTCCCAAATTAGCATGTGCCCACCAGCCACTGTTAAAATCCAGTTCTGTGACTCTGCTGAAACAGCACAGCTGTTATCAGCTATGAAACAAAATCATTTTGAAGAGGCTCCTCTTCCTGTTTTGCCTTTTTTAAAGCAATTTTTAATTTTGTATCAGAAAAAAACAGTGAGTCCTCTTCTGTATTTGTCCTCTCAGTTCCCTGGCTGCTTATCATTTATCACTCACATAGAGCTAGTAAGGTGCTTTCTGTGTGTTTATTGTTGTTTTAAAATCACATCAGTGATCAAAAAAACAAGAAAAACAAACCCATTCTGACTATAAGGGAAAGTACTCAGTAATTCAAGAGTGAGACAGATTGCTGGAGCCTGCACTCGAGCTTTGAGGAGCTGTGGGATTATTAGCCAATGCTGGGCATAAACTCAGTCTAAAACTATGCATTACTTACACCATTTTTTCACTTCTGCAATGCTGCGTTGTCAGACAAGTACTATCAGACTGCTCACTGCAGGCTAGGATCATTATGTATCCAACTAAATTCAACATAATATTGTTTCAGTTGGTTTTTGGTTTTGTTTTTTTTTTTTTTAAAAAAAAATAATTTTTCAAATATGGAAATAAATAACAGAAACTTTCTAGCTCTATCACAGGCAGAGCTGTAGGACTTAAGGATCATGGAGAAATACACTTTTTAGTATGCAGTTCATAGAAGCCACTGGTGCTACTCCTAACACTTGATTTCTTCCCATCTTTTCTTTTTCTTAGGGGAAACAAGGCAAACACATCCTCTATGGCTGCAGTGAACTATTTAATGCTACACAGTTTATAAAGCAGGTAGGTACTTGTAACAGTAACTCTGTAATACTTGTTACTGTAATAACTGTGACTTCTGTGACTGGTTTTTAACTTCTATCTCTATGGATTTTTGTCTCTGTAAAAACAAATTGATGTGAAAAAATGATACAGTTTTGTTACTGTTCTTCACTTTATTTAAATAGGGGGTTTGGAGTCACCGTTGCTAACTTTAGAAGGCCTATGTTGTCAGTGTGAGTTAACAGGCAATGCAGCTGGAATAGTTCTTTGAAACTAGCTTAACATAAAACTTACGGGGGGGGGAGAAAATCAGTTCTGAAGTTCTGACACTTTTTTTCCACAAATAGGATCTTTCCAGGCTATTCTATCAACTCTCTTGAATTAAAAATTGCTATTCAACTGCAGTCTTGAAATCTGTGTTTAAGTTTTGCTGTTTAGGAATATTGGAACTGTGGGAGCTTCAGGTTATCCCCAGTTGTTTGGCTTTTTTTGTTTTTTGTTTTTTTTTTAAAAAAAACAGCATTAAAAAGAAAGTTGTGATGCTGTTACTTCTGACCCTCTCCAGCAAAACTGCAAAATACAAGTTATTCACAGTGCTCAGCCCTCCAGTAGCTGTCACCACCTGTGCTTTTACTGCCTCCCTAAATTATTCAGACCTACATTTTGAAGAACTAAATTCACTAAGGTCTGTTACACATGAAGGAGAAAAAACAAATGCTGCTTACCATCATACAGTTCTTCAATGAGCTTAATTTCCTTGTTTCACCAACCCTGATTGTACATACCAGCCTTAACGCTGAAATTTATTCATATCTCAGGATTTGAAACCTAGAACCTCTTGTGTGGGGTTATGCATTAAATATTCTATCACTTGCATGCTTTTAATTGGTTATTTCTCACAAGGCTTGTAGGACAAAACGTTTACTGTATGCACTGAATATTAACATGCTGAAAGAATAATGTTACCAACCTAATCATTTCTGTCTCTTCATGTGTAGCTGTCCCAGCTTGGCCAGAATTAAGACTGAAACACCATGACCTGAATGTCACCATGACAAATTAAAGAACTGCTACAGCATTCAGATAACTTCAAATCTGTTATTTTGTCACAATATTAAAACTTACAGCAGCTTCATTAATATATCTTCTCAAGAAATCTGTAATTAGTACTGTGTATATCAACATTTCTGAAATAAACCTTAAAATGTGCGATATTTTTGTTGAGCATTAAGTCATATTACTTTCTAAATGCAGTATTAAGTGTGGCTATGACAGAGCTGTCTGATCAACATAGCATTTTCAAGA